GTTCTCACATAATATAAATCAATATTGGGCTCGAGGGAGGCTGCAGCGCTTAAGTGGCTTTGTGGAATCCATGCCACAGAGCGGACTGAAATATCTCTCCAGCTTGTTTTTACACAACAAAATAAATATTCAAGATAAATTGTGGCAGTCCCTTAAGTGAGCTAATTGATTCACCACAGGGTATATTGAAAAAAAGTCAAGATGAAATGTATATTTTTTGCTGTAATTGTGTTGTTTTCTCGCGTTCTGCATATTCAGCTGTTTCCACTGCGATATGAGTCCCCAAGAAAAGTAAAGAAGTAATTATTTAATTTTTGCTTTTGTAACTTTTCAACGAGAATGCAAAGAGTTAGAAGGAGCAGTGCTATTGTTAGACTGAAGCTGGGGAGCCAAGGAAGGCGGCAGTGGGAGGTGTGGGAGTAATTGACATTTTCTAATGTCTTTTTCTCTGTTTTGTTGCCAAATATATTCTTAAAGCCCCACTGATTAACAACAGAAATAAACAAACTTTATGTTGAATATTTTTATGACATCTTTACTTTTAACGGAGCTTGAATCTCCACAAACCGGACATGCAACCAAGGGCCTTGCATTCCCTTGCTTTACAGTGAGCTTGGGTTTAATCACTGGGCCTTTTTGCATATTCTCCCCATGTTTAGGTGGGTCTCTCCAGGGTTCTTGATTCCCCTCCACCCAAAAACATTTCCAGGAGGTAAAATACTACCTCTCAGGTCCTGACCAAATCTGGAGATGGATAACAGCATAAATCAAGTCTCCAGATTTAATGGTATTGAAAGGACCCATAGGGATGCATTTGCATGCTGGGAAAAATAAAGTGGACAAATATAATAAAGATGATTTCATGAAACTTCTGAAGTAATATTTAAACTGCCTATTTCTATTGAACTATGCTGATAACATGAACACTCCAGAAAGTCACATTTATAGTTTATTCGTCTGAGCCCTTTCCTTAGTCTTTAAACATATTTCCATAAATCCATCTATAGCTTTTATTCGGAAATATCCGTTGCCGGGTCGCAAAGGCAGCAGTATGTGCAGAAATGCCATAGTCCCAGTGTGTCCAGTTCCTGGTTCGTCCTCAGGTCTTCTTCCTGGTGGGACATGCACGGAACACCTTTGCAGGAAGGGAAAAAGTGATGAATTTTTTTTTTTGCAAAATTACTCAAATTTGGCAAAATGACTGCACTAAAACAAGATTGGCCAATGGCACAAGCAAAATAATCTTGTTTTACAAAATGTCTCAGCTCTTGAAAAAAGGCTAAACGGCTTCGTCCTATTGGAAAATCTTGATTTAAGACTGAAAATACTCAAAATAATAAAAACCACTTGATTCAAGCATTTATTACCTCATATTTTACCATTTTCTTTTGCATTTATTCCGTATTATGTCTGAGTAAAGAGGCCCTACCACAAACTCCAGTTGTACGTTTTAAACAAGCTCAACAACTATAACATCTAAAATAATCATCTTCACGTCAGCGTAAGAAATAGAGCCATTAGTTTGACGTGGCGGCACGCTGGAGGCAGTAATGGGGTGCATTTGCTCGGTCCGCGGTCATTGTGCAGTGTTATCAGCTGGCTCCTGCCCCGGGCACTGATAACAGACTCCTGTGGGACGCTGTGTAAACCGCACTAAGCCGGCCTGTCCTGTGGCCTGTGGTGGTAATCCTTTACACCTGGAATAGTCATCAAGGATTATCATGGATTGGGGGGCTTGGTGAAGGCAGCCCCTCTGCTTTCTCAGTGCAAACCCCATCACTAAGTAGTACTTTTTAATTGCATGAAAAATAATGAATACAAAAATTGACTGTAATCATGAGATTTTCCAAAAGAAATTGGTTTTGAAAATGTTTTGTCCAAAGTGTTATCCTTGAACAGGGACAATTAATTCCTAGTTTTTTTTGTGTGTGCCTTTTTTAATGAGAGGAAGTGAGAGAATGCTGCAAAAGGATTTAACTCAATTATTAACTAGTCTAGCAACTGTTTACACTATATTTTATCATTCATGGATTTTTTTACTGGATAAGAAGATGGCCTTAGGGGGGGCACCTGGCATTAAATATATCCAAATGAAAATGTACACAAAAGATAAGTTGAACTCTATTTAATATGAAATGTAAAAAATGCAACAGTTGCAAAATTATAACACAATACTTGTTTTGAAAGTTATTATATAATCTTTCAAATACTCTGATTAAGTTCAGTAGTTAATCATAAAGTAATTCCCATTTTCACAATAATATGTGACTATAACAAACATGTTCTTCTAAATTGAGGCTGTGCTGCTGCTTCTCAGTAATCAGCCTCAGGTGGCTGTATTCAGCTCGTATTACAACCCTCCTCCTCCCCATCTCCACATCAGTGGGACATTCTCTTATCACTTCCACTTCCATCACCTCCAGGGTCAATCTCAGTTTCATAATCTATTGTTTCAGTTCTTTATAATGGATATTTATATCAATCTGTGACAATATTTAATGGCACAACTTGGTATTACCTTCGCTCATGACAACCTTAATGCACATGTTTATTCATCTAAAGCCCACGTCTGTGCTTTTGGACACTGGAGTTTAGACACTGTAGAACTCGTTCCTCTGATCACAGAGTGAAGTCTCCTGGAGGGCCAAAGGGAAATGCATGGAGTGGGCGAGCTTATTTGTGGCAAGCTTTAGGCAAGATACATATTCTACTTCGAACCTGACACTGATGTGAAGTTTGCAGATTTGTGGGGAGGGAAGTAGCAGTGGAGTCACACTCAGACTCTGACTCTGGACTGGAGGATCAGACTCTGACTCTGGACAGGAGGATCAGACTCTGACTCTGGACTGGAGGATCAGACTCTGACTGACTCTGGACTGGAGGATCAGACTGACTCTGGACAGGAGGATCAGACTCTGACTCTGACTCTGGACAGGAGGATCAGACTCTGACTCTGACTCTGGACAGGAGGATCAGACTCTGACTCTGACTCTGGACTGGAGGATCAGAATCTGACTCTGACTCTGGACTGGAGGATCAGACTCTGACTCTGGACAGGAGGATCAGACTCTGACTCTAGACAGGAGGATCAGACTCTGACTCTGGACTGGAGGATCAGACTCTGACTCTGACTCTGGACTGGAGGATCAGACTCTGACTCTGGACAGGAGGATCAGACTCTGACTCTAGACAGGAGGATCAGACTCTGACTCTGGACTGGAGGATCAGAATCTGACTCTGACTCTGGACTGGAGGATCAGACTCTGACTCTGGACAGGAGGATCAGACTCTGACTCTAGACAGGAGGATCAGACTCTGACTCTGGACTGGAGGATCAGACTCTGACTCTGGACTGGAGGATCAGACTCTGACTCTGGACTGGAGGATCAGAATCTGACTCTGACTCTGGACTGGAGGATCAGATTCTGACTCTGACTCTGGGCTGGAGGATCAGACTCAGACTCTGACTCTGGACTGGAGGATCAGACTCTGACTCTGGACAGGAGGATCAGACTCTGACTCTGGGCTGGAGGATCAGACTCTGACTGACTCTGGACTGGAGGATCAGACTGACTCTGGACAGGAGGATCAGACTCTGACTCTGACTCTGGACAGGAGGATCAGACTCTGACTCTGACTCTGGACTGGAGGATCAGAATCTGACTCTGACTCTGGACTGGAGGATCAGACTCTGACTCTGGACAGGAGGATCAGACTCTGACTCTAGACAGGAGGATCAGACTCTGACTCTGGACTGGAGGATCAGACTCTGACTCTGGACTGGAGGATCAGAATCTGACTCTAACTCTGGACTGGAGGATCAGACTCTGACTCTGGACAGGAGGATCAGACTCTGACTCTAGACAGGAGGATCAGACTCTGACTCTGGACTGGAGGATCAGACTCTGACTCTGACTCTGGACTGGAGGATCAGACTCTGACTCTGACTCTGGACTGGAGGATCAGAATCTGACTCTGACTCTGGACTGGAGGATCAGATTCTGACTCTGACTCTGGGCTGGAGGATCAGACTCAGACTCTGACTCTGGACTGGAGGATCAGACTCTGACTCTGGACAGGAGGATCAGACTCTGACTCTGGACTGGAGGATCAGACTCTGACTGACTCTGGACTGGAGGATCAGACTGACTCTGGACAGGAGGATCAGACTCTGACTCTCACTCTGGACAGGAGGATCAGACTCTGACTCTGACTCTGGACAGGAGGATCAGACTCTGACTCTGACTCTGGACAGGAGGATCAGACTCTGACTCTGACTCTGGACTGGAGGATCAGAATCTGACTCTGACTCTGGACAGGAGGATCAGACTCTGACTCTGGACAGGAGGATCAGACTCTGACTCTAGACAGGAGGATCAGACTCTGACTCTGGACTGGAGGATCAGACTCTGACTCTGACTCTGGACTGGAGGATCAGAATCTGACTCTGACTCTGGACTGGAGGATCAGACTCTGACTCTGGACTGAGGATCAGACTCTGACTCTGGACAGGAGGATCAGACTCTGACTCTAGACAGGAGGATCAGACTCTGACTCTGACTCTGGACTGGAGGATCAGACTCTGACTCTGACTCTGGACTGGAGGATCAGAATCTGACTCTGACTCTGGACTGGAGGATCAGACTCTGACTCTGGACAGGAGGATCAGACTCTGACTCTAGACAGGAGGATCAGACTCTGACTCTGACTCTGGACTGGAGGATCAGAATCTGACTCTGACTCTGGACTGGAGGATCAGATTCTGACTCTGACTCTGGACTGGAGGATCAGATTCTGACTCTGACTCTGGGCTGGAGGATCAGACTCAGACTCTGACTCTGGACTGGAGGATCAGACTTAGACTCGCTGCTCTGCACCAGTGGCTGCAGTTCTCAGTGTGTTCTAATATACTGTATGTCCACAGCATGTGTTCTTCAATAGCACAGACTTGTGTTCAGGTCCAAACTCTCTGGTCTTGCTTAGCACTTTCAGAGCACTGCATGCCAGGCCTTTGGAGATGTAAGAAATTCATTGCTAAGGAAAAAATGATCACCCTTTTGTTGCCAAGTGGTTTGGAGTTGATTTTAATCACAGGGCAATCACTGCTTTCCCAGATTGCAATGGAGTCCCTATGCAAGGGCACTATACAAGGACAGGGTCCGCAGTCTGGGGGAAATCAGTTTGCGGTCCGGAACCAGAGTCCTAAAAATCTAAATGATTATTATTTCACACATGGCAATGCATCGTGAATCAATCCGGATTGTGAAATTCATGAATCGTTACGCAGCCATATTTTAGTTTATTGTCTTTTCCAACTTCACCTGCATCTTTGACACTTTCTCTTAACGTTTTTCTTTCCTGCTCTTGCAGATGTGGACGAGTGCGCCGAGGCCATTGACAACTGCAGCATTGACGCCATCTGCCAGAACACCCTCAAGTCCTACAAATGCATCTGCAAGTCCGGCTACAAAGGAGATGGGAAACATTGTGAAGGTACGCTTATCAAAGGCACTCAGGCACTTCCAGAATGGGGTCTACTCATGCACAAGGACCAGAGCAGTAAGCACCACGCTCAAGTCCCATTCTGACGTGAAGAGGTTTGAGTGCCATCAAAAGGACTGCTCAAGTGTGCTCCACTCATTATTATTACATGTTTGAGCATTCTAGCATCCAAAGCGATTGACGGCTGATTTGCTGCTATTCCTGAGGCGAAGGATAACATTTTCTGTGACAATGGACAAAAAAGATATTTACATTTGACCTTCACACACTACTGTGTGCTCACGCTCAAGGCAAAGCAGGTTTAACTGTCCTGCCCAAGGACACAACAGCAATATTCACCTGTGCGACTTCTCTATGGATGACTTTTATAATCTTAATTACCGGCACTACGTATGATTGGAATAGTCACAGTCAGTGGCACACAGGTACATTCACAGTCATCAGCATATAAAAATCACAATGGACACTTTGCAACAACCTTTGCAAAAAGCCCCATATTTCAACAAAAATATTTCTAGAAAAATGGTTTTATCTTACAACTTAAAGTACTGTCACTATCTAGATGTTTACTCACTATACTAACAATGTTTCGACCTATTCATAAATATGTTCTAAATAAGAATGAATGAAACATAACTGACTTATAAATACTGTAGTGATACTGTGTTGCCCATGTCATACACTCACTGTATATTTTATCGTACATTTGAAATTCATTGGAAATATTGATGCTATAAAAGGAGTAAGTCTGCGTTCAGTCCTGCCATATCTGTCTGCACTCTGCCCACTTAAGTCTCCCTCAAAGACCCATAGTCTCAGCTCAGATCTTGTCAGTTAACACCAGTTTTTTTTTTCAATGCTGCTGAAAAAAAAAATCATACTACAGATTCAATTCAACTTTTTTTGTTTAGCCCTAAATCACAACAGCAGTCGTCTGGGAGGACTTTATAAACAGATCAGACAATCAAATAGTAAATGCCATAATAACAAACACATAGGAGCCATTGATTCATAGAGAGTGGGAGGATGTTCAGAAATGTGCTTAAACGTGATCATCACTGTCCTTAGACTCTCCTGCATCGGCAACGAAAGACAAAGAAAAAAGAAAAAAAAAGGTGCAAATGAAAGAGGCCAGATTCAGGGGTATCTTCATCACGCCATGAAACAGACAATGGGAAAGCAGGCGAATAGCAATGAACAGACTACGCCTGAAGTCATAATGATGAAAGATTGAGAAAATAAAATTGCCGTAAAAAGTGGTTGTTGTGAGAGTGCTGATAATAAATGACATGCCTGGATAGTTCTAAAACTGCTGTGATGACAGGGGAAAACAAGTTTAACATGGTCAAAGGCTGTGAAAAGTATTTTATGTCTCTTCTACATGTTACTCCTGTGCAGTGTGCAGAAAGAAATGATTGTGTGATCTACTTTCATACCAGTGAGGCTGATGATGTCGTTGTTTACTGCCACATTTCTGTTGATTAACTCAATATTTGATTTGGATTTCAAAGATATATGATGGCAAACACCAAAAAGGAGAATGCATGGAGGGAGTAAGCTGCAGATTTTTATTTCAGTAAATGGGCAGTTTAATCTTTAGCCGTTTTTTGTTTGTTTGTGTCATGGTTAACAATGAACGAAGGACTCAAAATGTGCTCAACTGCAAATAAAATGTGATTGAATTAAATCAAACCAAATCCAGGGTAATATTAAAATACAAAAATCGTCAAGAACAAGACATGGGGAAAAGACAGTGGACTGACAACAAGAGCACTGGGTTTAAATACACATATGGAGATACAGGTGAAATACATGTAAGTGGGGCAGGCAACACAAGAAAATGAAATTAAACTCAAACATATACACAAGACAACCACAATTACAGATTATAACGTATCATATTGTATTATAAAGAATAGTATCCTAAGACCCAAACCATAACAGTTTGTTTATTCCATAATTGTATTAAGCATAATTCAACTCCCAGCAAGCACACTACAGACTTTTACACATGCAATTAAAACACAAATCTTATCTTGATTACAATTAAAAGATATAAATGACAAATATTAATTCCAGTAGTAAGCCTCTCAGTGTAAGTCCCATTATCACTGTCCTTTGTTTTGCCTCCCGCAGATTTGTCTAGTTGTAAATGCAACAGTGTAGGTATCCTCTCCATCCCATATCATTGCCCCAGGGCTTCTCGCCTTTGAGACCTGGGAGTTTTGAAATGGCATGTCGACCTAGGACAACAATGGGAAAGGTTGGAATGTTGTTTGGAGCTGTGCCGGCGTTTCACCATGGTGCAGACAGGAACGTGTGCAAATAAAAGGATAAAAAACGTTTGTAGTCACTGCGCAGTGAACCAGTGGGAATCACATGATAATGGCTCAGAGGAAGCCAACACCTCCACAACAAGCATGAGAGAGCCAGATCCTGTCAGATCTCTCAAGCTAAGCCTGACAGGGCATAGTTCATACTGTGATGGGAGACCTTAGTGCCGCAGCGGTGATAACTAGTTTTATAAATGTTATGGCAATATCCAGCAATAACAGTGACCTTACATATGCATACAAGCCAGGATACACACAGACACTATCTACACTGATACACGACACTCACCAAAATGCAATAAACCAGATTGGACCCCCCTCCCCCTTCCCTCCTTGCTTATGCGTGTGTTTTATAAATATTGTTTAGTAATATTTCTGTATATTGCAATTTTTCGCTAGATGCTTCCAAATTAAGATAATAAAAAATAGAAAAGAGACATTACAATGGGCTATTTCAAGCTTGCCCATTTAGAGGAATAAGAACATTTTCAAACATTTCTTTTTTTGCATAATAATGTGAAAAAGGCCAAACTTTGACGGTTTAGTTTTATAACCTTCGTTCACAAATGAAGATCAATTAGAACTAGATTTTGCATGGACTCCTGATCAAAAACTTTTCCCACTGCCATGACACCATTAGTTGCTTACAAAAAAAAATCTTATCCAGGATCCATGTCTCTTTGTCAGTACTCATTTAATTGGCTTTGCAGACATTGCTCTGATTCGGGGAAAATGTTTGACACCAAATTAAAAAAAATTATGATATTTTCGTGGATTTAGCTGCTTATCTCTGCGACAGTGAGCCTTTGGGACTGTGACAGCGGCGATAAGAGCTGCTATCGCTCTCTAAGTAACTCATTAGCGTCTGGGCGGCGGGGAAAGAGGGAAAGTGGAGAGCCAGGTGCACAGTGTTCCTTTGTGACAAGACCAAATGGGCCAGTAAATGTTCGACACGTGTTTCAGGGGAGAATTAAGAAAGAACGAGATCAGTGCCAAAAATGTAACACATACCACTCTGCGAAAGTGCGAAAAGTGCTGTTAAACATTAGGGCTTTAATAAATTTGACTTTGACCGCTTTGTGCTTGCCCTTTTCTTGGCTGAGTAAGTCTTTAGTGGACCAATAGGGATTAGATTTCTCTGCACTTCAGTGTGTTTGGAAACTTAGGACCAAGAAAGGCAAGAGAAATGTGAATGAGATTTAAGGTTTGGGAAGTCAGATTTAAATAGCTATAATTGTAGCTGAAAAAAATGTTTTGATTCTTCTGTAAATTGATTCATTATTGTCACATTTTATTGATAACGTCAAATAAACAACTACCTCTTAAGCACATTATCGTCATGGGAAAAAAATATCTCCATGAACAAAGTTGAAATGTTTAGAATTGCGCTGTTTGTTGACGTTAAATAACACATGTGCAGACTTTAACATTAACATAACTTTATTTTATTTATAATATTCATAGAAATTCTAGACCTTTTTGCAATTTAGTTTTTTAAAACTGAGGTAGATTATTTTTGTGTTAACTCAGCATATACAGTATATTCTGAACTGTAATTGCATGTTCTGCCAGTAATGGACTGTAAAAACCCCCATAAAAATAAAATAAAATAGGTTAAGTTAGTTCTTAGCGTGCTTTCCCATTGAAAATTAATTTTGTCTTCTTAGTAATAAAACTAAAATACTTTTAGTTGATAAATACTCTTTAATATCCCAGGTAATCACCACTGATATAGCTGATTCTGACTATTTTATTTCCGGAAAACATTAAGCTCCGCCCTTTTTGCAGCTCCATGTCCATGTTTTTGTTATTATTTTTTCACTCTTCACTCTGTTAGTATCTGCAATAAAATAAGATAAAATAAACTTATTGTCCCCAAGGGAAATCTTCTGTGGGATACAGTGCCTCACAGATCTGCATGAAAGAATAAACACGGAAGATAGAGAGGAAAGTGTAGTAGTGCTTTGACGTCTCAGTTTAGTCCAATTCTGCATCAAATATAAGGTTCTGGATAAAAACTGAAATAGTGTTATTCAGTTTTAAGGGTGTATTCAATATTAATTATTAAAATATCTGATTTCTGAACTCTGTAAAGCGCTTTCCTTGGTCTGTAATGTGTGCTATATACTGTAAATACACATTACTTACTTATGTACTTATTATTCTTATTTAAAAGGGCCGCTGAAGTTGGGACAAATGCGTTTTTTCCTTGTGTCTATAACAGTGCTAGGACACTTGAGTTCAAACCGTACACTGAGATATATTCCCAAATTTCACTCTAAATTTCACTCTTTTTGACACATTGTATTTACACTTTTCTCTGTATATATTTGACATATTTTACTTGGTCCACGCATGTTTTCCTTAGCCCGTTTGTGACAACCCTCAGCACAGCATTCCCATAAACTATCCTTCTAAACTGTTTTTCTATCCTTCTCGTCCTATGTGCCCAGAAGCGTTCCCCCTCGATCATTACATCCCACAGTTTATACGAGTCCTATTACAAACCTGTAATTCTCCATTTCATTTTTCCTTACCGCTATTATTCTTTCATTCACTTGGCGGCGTGTTTTCCATGGCCTTCTGCCTGTGGTTACAAACGGTTGCTTTATTGAATCGGGTACAAAATATGTGTGTGGATTTCATTTGAACTGAAGG